AGAGCCACATTTTGAAAACAACCCGCCCTCAATCGGGGAAGCTCAAGCATTTTGTCCCAACCATCCTGTGGTGTTGGGTCCTCGTTTTGAAGAGACAGCGCCCTGCGTTCCTCACTCCTTCCTCCTCCCCCTCCTCCCTCCTCCCATCATCAGCATCCGCGTCATAATCATCACCACCACCACCATCAGCATCATCAGCATCATCGTCATCATCATCACCACCACCATCATCGTCATCACCATCACAACCAACAACACCAACACCACCACCACCAACACCAACAACATCATCATCATCATCATCATCATCATCATCATCATCATCATCATCACCATCACCATCATCATCATCATCATCGTAATCATCAGCATCAACATCAACATCAACATCAACATCAACATCAACATCATCATCATCATCATCATCATCATCATCATCATCATCATCATCATCATCATCATCATCATCATCATCATCATCATCATCATCATCATCATCATCATCATCATCATCATCATCATCATCATCATCATCATCATCATCATCGTCATCATCGTCATCGTCATCATCATCGTCATCGTCACCGTCATCGCCATCATCAGCGGGGGTGCCCGCATGCGTCCGCCACAACCCGTAAGGCGTTTCGTGGCTCCATAGGGAGCTCCACCGAAAGCCTTAGTGGGGGTGGCCAAATGCGTCCGCCACACCCAGTCCAGCCGCCTCACACGCTTCGTGGCCTTACAGGGAGCTCCGCCTACGGCCCCAGTGGGGGTGGCCACATGCGTCCGCCACGTTCCGTGGCCCCATAGAGAGTTCCACCCAAGGCCCCCGTGGGGGTGACCACATGCGTCTGCCACACCCAGTACAGCGCTTCGTTGCCCCATAGGGAGCTCCACCTAAAGCCCCAATGGGGGTGGCCACATGCGCCCGCAACGCCCAGCACAACGTTCCATGGCCCCATACGGAGCTCCACCGAAGGCCCCAGTGGGGGTGTCCGCATGCGTCCGCCACACCCAGTACAGCGTCTCGTTGCCCCATTGGGAGCTCCACCAAAGGCCCCAGTGGGGGTGCCCGCATGCGTCCGCCACACCCATGTGGGCACACCCCTCACACGTTGCGTGGCCTTGGAGGGAACTCCCCCTAAAGCCCCAATGGAAGTGGGTGGCCACATGCGTCCGCCACACCCAGTGGGGAGTCCCACCGAAAGCCCCGTGGGGGTTGCCACATGCGTCCACCACAACCAGTACAGCGCTTCGTGGCCCCATAGGGAACTCCACCCAAGGCCCCAGTGAGGGTGGCCACGTGCGTCCGCCACACCCATTACAGCGCTTCGTGGCCCCATCGGGAACTCCACCTCAAGCCCCAGTGGGGGTGGCCACATGCGTCCGCCACGCCCAACACAGGGCTCCGTGGCCTCATGCGGAGCTCCACCGAAGGCCCCAGTGCGGGTGTCCGCTTGCGTCCGCCACACCCAGTACAGCGCTTCGTGGCCCCATGTGGGGGCTCCACCGAAGGCCCCTGTGGGGATGCCCGCATGCGTCCGCCATACCCAGTACAGCGCTTCGTGGCCCCATGGGGAGCTCCACCGAAGGTCCCACTGGGACCGCCAGCGCGCGCCCGCCACAACCAGTGTAGCGTTTCGTGGCCCCGTGGGGAGCTCCACCGAAGGCCCCAGGTGGACCGCCCGCATGCGTTCGCCACACCCAGTGCAGCGCTCCATGAGGTGGTCGCGGCAGCTGCGAATCTCGGCGACAATCGTGACCGGGACCTGCGAGGTTGCAGTATATCGGCCCTGGGGCCAGCGTGTCCTCTCTCATCGTTGCAGCCCCGGCCAGCCACTGGTTTCGGATACGATGAACGACACACCGGCCCCCCCCCGGGCAACGGTGCGGTCCGTCGAGTGAGTGCTCTGTAGGTGCTTGCCGTTCCCCTGCTCTCTCTGTGGTCAGATTCAGCCCTGACTGCGCTCCAGCGCCTATGAGCTGCCCGCGGCTGCAGCGTACCTCGGCGACCTTCGGCCGTTACCCGCTAGGCGGCAGCCTACTGGCGCTTAGGCCTGCGTGTCCTCTTTCATCGTTGCTTCCTGGCCTGTCACTGGTTTCGGAATCGATGGCTGACACACCGGCCCCCCCCCCGGGCAGCGGTGTGGATCGTGGAGTGAAAGCTCTGTAGGTCCCTGCCGTTCCTCTGCCCCTGTCTTAGCCGACCCCGCGTACGGCGGCGGGACGGACTTCGCGCTGAGTGGTTCAGCCTCAGCGTGTCGCTTCGGCTCTACCCACCCGCCCGCTTTCGGCTAGGAGAGCTGCTCGGAGCTTGACGCCGTCAGGGCGACTTCTCCGTTGCACTGCACTGCGGTCTGCTTCACTTCGGTGTGGCTGGCGCCTAGGTACGTTCGCCTTAATGCGGAGCATTTTGCTCATATCTTTGCGAATTAGCCTCGTACCGTGACCCGGACGCAGCTTCCGCTCCCTGGCCGTTGCTTGGGAGCCGCCGACCAAAAAAGAAACCCCACCAGCCCATCCACGGTGCCCAAAGGAATTGGCTCGATCAGGGAAGTGGGCAGCACACAGAGGAAGGGTCCCCAAGTGGAGGCCTCTTGGAGCGTCTTGGGGGACTCTTGGCGGTGCAGGACGCCTTTTAGAGCGTCCGGGGTGCCTCGGGGAGTTTCTTGGGGCCTCTTGGGGGTCTCTTGGGAGCCTCTTGGAGGCCTCTTGGGGGCCTCTTGGGGCCTCCTGGGTGCTTCTTGGGGCCCTCTCGAAGCGCTCTTGGGAGCCTTGGGAGCGCTCTTGGGGCCATCTTGGAGGACATCGATCAAACAAGAGGGGAGCATTAATTAGCGTTGCCCCTCGGGAGCCCAAAAAGTCGCCTCTTGGGCCGCTCTTGGGGCGCCCTTGGAGCGCTTTTGGGCGCTTTTGGGGCCGTCTTGGGGCTCTATTGAGCCTCTCTTGGAGCCCTCTTGCGCCATCCTGGAGCCATCTTGAGGCCTCGGATGGCCATCGGAAGCGAAAAGGCGAGAAAGCCAAAAACAGTGATCTTCCTGTGGTTTTGATGGGAATTTGGCCTCTTCGGGGCCTCCTCGGGGAGCTCTTTGGCCAATTGGAGCCGTCTTGGAGCGGTCTCGGGGCCTCTTGGAGCATCGTGGGGGCCATCTTGAGGATTTCTGGGTTTTCTTGAGCCATATTGGAGGTCACCTTGGGTTCTCCCAGGCGCTCTTGAAATCATCGAAGCCAGTGCCCCCCCCCAGGAGGCCAAAAGGTGACCAAAACCTTAATACAATGATTTTGGCATTCTCACCGAGGACTCTTGGAGCGTCTTGGGTCCTCTTGGGGGCATCCTGGGGGCCTCTTGGGGGCCTCTTGGGGCCTCCTGGCCACCTCTTGGGGCCCTCTTGGGGCACACTTGCGAGCCTTGGGAGCGCTCTTGGGGCCATCTCGGAGGAGATCGATCAAAAAAGGGGGTTCCTTAATTAGGGCCCCCCCTCCAGGAGACCAAAATCGGGCCAAAACTTTAGTAAAACCACTGATGTTGGCTTCCTCGCCGAGGCCATTTTGGACGCTCCAACTACCCGCGGAACCCCCCGTCCAGGTCCAGGGGAGGAAGTATTGGGAGGGGTAAACCCCTCCCCGAAGGGAAAGAAGGGGGTTGGAAGAGGAAGCTCCCTCGACGACCTACGCCCTAAAGGGCTGGTGGGCTTTCAAGATTATCAATGATGAGGAAGATCAAGCAAAACTCCCAGCCCGCCCCTTCGACTGGCCTCGGAGGGCAACAGGGAGCAGTCATCCAGAAGGAAAATTAAGGACAAGGAGGAGGAGGATGATAAGGCAACCCTCTGTGAACCCTACCCCTGCAAGCCAGACTTCCGAAACGCCGGCTGGCGTTCAAAATTTGAAAGATGTTTGCAGACGAGTCAGCAAGGGCAAGGGTGTCCGATACCCCAGTCTCCTGGTGTGCGTTCTGACAAGAATTTCGAAGAGAATCCAGCCGTGGCGACGAAGGCTCTCTAGGCTAGTCTCTAAGACGAGCAGGGAGGACCCACACTTCCTTCCGACGATCTGATTTCTCAATGCGCGGCTCCAAATCCCGACCAGCTCCCCAAGGGTCGTTCTTCGCTCCAAATCCAGTTTGGATGGCCCCAACCCGAATGCCGGCCCCCGGAGGCAGAAATCGAGGAAACGCCTGCGGACAGAAAACAAATGTCGTAGGATATCTGGGGGGCGAGGACGAGCAAGAGGAGGACGACCGTCGGACGTTGCAACACATGGGGCATCCAACACAGTCACCACCAGAGCCCTGGACCCTATCTGTCAGCTCCACTTGTCGAGCCCGATCGATCTGTGAGGGTCCTGGGCCCGAAACCGCGCGAAAACGTCCGTCGTGAAACAATTACATCGCCAGGATCTCACCCGAGCAAGAGGACGAGGGCTCGAGGCCGCCGAATCGGCGGCGGCCAAGAGGGCGGCGTCCAAGAGGGGGGGGGGCGCAAGTCATGGCCGGCGGCACGTGCGCGGCCCAGGGGGGGGGGAGGAACATAATGAAATAAGATGCGCCGTGAAATCTGGGGAGATATCATGGCCCACGCCATGATATCCCCCCCCGGTCATCGCCCCCCTCTGTGGACGCTCCATCTACCCGCGGAACCCCCCGTCCAGGTCCAGGGGAGGAAGCAGGGGGAGGGGTAAACCCCTCACCCGGAGGGGAAGAAGGGACGTGGCAGAGGAAAACCCTCAACCCTAGACGACCTACGCCCTAAACCCCCCCCTAGTCATCGCCCACGATAGCGAATCCACATGTCCCTGGGCGGGGTAGCGGCTATCGGGCCCCTATCGGCGATCCATGGGCGATCGGGGGTCGATGCATATCCCTGCCTATCCCCCCCCTATCGTTGCCCCTGATTTGTACCCCCTCTTTGCCGCCCCCGAAGGACGAGGGCTCGAGGCCGCCGAAGGCCGCCGGGAGGCCGCCGCAGAAGGCGGCCCGCGCGCGCCCCCGGGCGGCAGGCCTCGGGCGCGGCACGCCGGCAGGCCCTCTGCAGCAGCCGCCGGGCCTGCTCCAGGCGGGCGGCGGCGGCCTCCTCCGCCTCGCGCAGGGCAGAGCAGGAGGCAGCTCCTGGCTGCGTGCTCCTCCTCCTCCTCCTCCTCCTCCTCCTCCTCCTCCTCCTCCCTCCTCCTCCTCCCTCCTCCTCCTCCTCCTCCTCCTCCTCCTCTTCGTCGGGGAGGGCAGAGCAGGAGGCTACCCCTCAAAGAAGAAGCGTGGCTGGCCATAGGCTGACATCGCTCTCGGTTCTTCAGGGCCAACCACCCTGCAAACCCCACCGCGCCCCCACCACGCCTGACACTGCCAACCTCCTGGGGCGTCTGGGCATCGGTTCTTCAGGCCCACCCACCCTGCAAAATCGTCGCCGGGACCCCTCCACCGCGCGTTCACCACGCCTGTCACCGTCAGTCTCCTGGAGCCTCTGGGCAACGGTTCTTCAGGGCCGACCACCCTGCAAAATCCTCGCCAGGACCCCCCAACCGCGCCCCACCCATGCCCGACACCGCCAGTCTCCTGGAGCGTTTGGGCATCGGTTCGTCAAGGCCACCCACCCTGCAAAATCCTCGCTGGACCCCCCCCCCCGGGCACCCACCACGCCTGACACCGCCAGCCTCCTGGGGCGTCTGGGCATCGGCTCTTCAGACGCACCCACACTGCAAAATCCTCGACGGGACCCCCAACCGCGCCCTCACCGCGCCTGACACCGCCAACCTCCTGGGGTGTCTGGGCATCGGTTCTTCAGCCCACCCACCCTGCAAAATTCCCGCCGGGACCCCCCCACCGCGTCCCCACCACGCCTCCTGCTGTCACAATCCTCCTCTGCTCCTCTCCACGCCCCTTCTGTCGCCGTTGAGAGCCCGCCGGCCCCGCTGGCTGAGAACGAAAAGGTGTGCGAGTGATCGGTTCTCCCCCTCCCCGTCGAACCACAGGCATGCTGGTATCCCAAGAGCGGCCGCGCGAAACAAAAATAGGCCAAGTCAGCTCCAAGAGACTGCACCGAACTCCACTCGTTGCCCAAACCTGGACTTGCGACCACCCAGCCCCCCCAAATCACTGAATGAACCCTAGACGGCCCCATGATCTCCTGAGACTGGGGTCGGCGGCAGAGGCGGCGGCCTCAAGATGATAATCAACATCCTCAAACATCATCATCGGGAGAGCAAACGGACCAAAGAAAGGCTGAGGAAGGAAACGGAAATGGGGCGACACCGACGAGGAAGGAATCGTACGTGTCCAGGAGTGTGGTCCGCGCTGGGGCGCGGGTGCCACTCTGAACGACGGGAGCGGGCCGCCGATCCTGAAACGAGGCCACTGCTGCAGCGGGATCCGCATTTCGAAACAACATCGACGGCGATCCGATTGGATACGTGCACGCCGAAAGCGCAGGTTGAAATTATGTATGTATGTGTATGTCCGTGTGTGCATGGGGAAAGACGAAGTGGGAGAGGCGGGGCCACGAAAGCACAGCGTCAGGAAAGAGAGAGAGGGAGAGAGAGAGAGAGAGAGAGAGAGAGATAGATGAGAGAATTGTGAGTAGTGCTCACCTTGAGTAATTGCGAAGGGAGAGGGGAGGATGGAGGGGCAGGCGATCTGTTGGGAGGGGGGGAGAAGGGAAACAGTCGGAGGAGGAGGAACGCACGTAGCTGTGAGCCAGGAGCGAGAGATCAAAGCATCCCTGCGCAATTCGACCACAACCACCTCCATCAGTACCGCCGCCGGAACTGGCAACGACAGCGCGACCTTGCCGCTGCTGGAAGACAACCTAAAACATAGTAACGCGGAGCGAAACAAGAACGGACAGGCACGGAACCTCCTCATCCTGGGGGGCCCAGACCTTCAAAGCCGTGATTGCTGTCACAACGCGGACCCGCAAAGATCAGGACCCTTTCTGCAAGACATGCTTTTCGTCCCAAGGCATCAGTCCTCCTCCTCCTCCTCCTCCTCCTCCTCCTCCTCCTCCTGCTCCTCCTCCTGCCCAAGACATGCTTTTCGTCTCTCCGGGGCCCGGGGCCATGGCTCCCTGAGGCCACGGGGACCACAGCCCTGCTGTCGCGATCCTCTTGTCCTGGGGTCCCCAGGCGGTGCGGTGACAGATCGTGCGGTGACCTCGGATTCTCCAAAAGACCTCACCACACGGTCAGTCACCGCACGGTCTTGGGACCCTGAGGGCCCAGGTCGCCCGAGACGTCCTCGAAGACCGACCCCAATCCCAAAACCGTGCGGTCAACCCGAGCCCCCACTGACTCACCACGCGGAATGGTCACCGCACCCTTCGGGGGCCCCCCGACTGTCGCGACGCAAAGGAAGTCTGGGGAGGCGGAACGGAAAGAAAGGGGAGCGGAACGTGGGCGCTGGGGCCCCGTATAGACGGGGGCTTTTTAAGGAGCTAGGACATTGTCGGCGCGCCAGCGAACACTGCTGCTGCAGTGGGCCGAGACGTCCTCCGTTCTTCACTCTCTCCAAGGGAACCAACAAGATACCTTTACTGCTGCTCCCCGAACATATCCCGGGGCGCGCTCTGACCAGGCTGTCATGGAGAATCCAGACGTGCGTGGTGGCCCTCCACCACGAGCAGCGGTATCGGTGTATCTGTTTCTCCTCCGCCATTCAAGCCGGAACTTTCAACGTCCTGGCTTTCAGCGTTCTGGCTTCAGGGGCCCCCGAGGGCGTCTGGGATTGAGGGGCAACGGTAAGGGGGGCAACGGCACAGGGGGAAACATCGAGCTGGAATCGGCGATGCTGTGGGCACGACGGGTTCAGGCGGCCATCGCAAGATGTACTGAAAGGGATGCCTTTGCACTCAACGCACACAGAATGGCTTGAGCCAAAGCGTCAGTCACGGCGCTGTGCACAAGCAAGCATACAACAGACACAAACACAGAAAAGCACGGATAGTCAGGACGAGAGGGAGCCATATGATTCCACAGCTCCCCCCACTTACTGTCGACCTGACTCCTCGAGGCGGCGCTCGCGATCCTGTAGATAGCGGCGGCTGGCCTCTCGACTGCGCCGGCCCTTCTCGCCACCGGCCAAGAGGTGAGCCCTCTCCGACTCAGCATCACTCAACGTCAAAGTCCCACGGCGAATCATGTGACCCATGGCATCGGACCCCTTGGACACATCAGCCTTGGTCATCACATCAGTGGGATTGAGCAGGTGAGGAAACCACTTCACGCACGAGCCCCGCTGGGAGAAAGAGTCACGAGCAATTGCGAGGTCCACGGAAGTCCTGCGGTCCTCCTTCCGGCCAGCACAGTTCTTGGAGAGACAGTCGAAGATGGACTTGGCGTCCGTGGCATGAACTCCAGGCAAGGGTCGGTGCAACTCGCAGTTGTCACGTAACACCGACACGTAGGGGCCTGCGTGCTGTCGCCAGTCGGCAGTAGGAACGTCCCCAAAGCAAGCGTCACGAAGTAGCAGCTGGATCCAGTCGGCTTCTCCAAGAGACTGGCAGAGAGAGTTGGCCTCACCGGCCAGGGATGAGTTGGCAGCTCGACGCATCTTGGAGGATCTCCAGGAAAGCATCGTCACCTTGCTGGTCAGTCCGGCGGCCAGCTGAGGGTCAGCCACTCCCACAGCCCAGGCACACTGTATGGGTGAGTCCGTGCCAATCCCCGCCGCGTCGCTCAAAGTAAAACTCACCACCTGCGATAGGTCGTGGCGCCAGATGGTCAGGTACTGCGAGGCGGTGTCACGCAGCATCTGGACGGCCCGATTGAAAACAACGATGTCCTCCACCACCGCCTGCTCCAGCTTGCTGGCGAGTATGGAAGCCGTGCCCGCCACCTCGGGACGGGTCTCCTTCGCCACCCAGTTGATCCGGTAGATGCCGGATCGGAGCTGCTCGAACTCTGAGCGGCTCAGAGGCTCTTGTCTCTTGGAGCGGCGGCCCTTCTCCAAGACAATCGGATGAATCTCCTCCAATATGTACTTCTCCTGGTCCAGGCGAATGCGGTGAGCCTCCTTCCTGATGCGGCGTCCTGCAAACTCGGCCTCGTCGCCTCTCCATTTGCCGAAGGTGAACCTGGCCTTGAGAGAGTCGGCCAACCACCTCGTGTGGGAGGCAACTGTACCCAGCCAAAGGTCGTCCACCTCTATCAGGACCTGAGCCTTCAGGGCGCCCTGCTCCGGGAGAGTCCAGTAGCATGGCTCCATCAGCAACTTCTTGAAGCCAAGGTCGCGTAGGTAGGAGGTGATCGTGGCGTGCCATTCCCAAGGGGCGTCGTCTAGACCATAGACGGCGACATGTAGCTCAATAAGGCACCCGTCGGGAACGTGAATGCCAGTGAGCCCCTCGCAGGGAGCCACGTAGATGGGTCCACCAGCCCTGCGGAGTCGCCTCGACTGACTGAATGCGTTCTTGCAGTCCACTATACTCTGGTCCATGCCATGGCCCAAGAGTACCAGCCCGAAAAGCATCATGGCCTCGGACTGAGGCGTCGGAGAATACGTCACTAGATGCTCAGTGTCAGGATCTGCAAAACCGTGCACGCACCATCTGCTCTTGGCCTTTGGGGCACTAAACGTACCCTCCTGGGCCTTCCATCGTCGTACCATCCTGGACGATAGCACCCGCTCTGGCCGGGTGCGAAGCACATGAGTGGACTCCTCCTTGCTGAGGATCCGCAGCACGTTAGGCTTGTTGAGTACGCCCCACTCGGCCTCGTCCGATCGTCGGAAATCCTCGAGCTCCTGGGCCGAGAGATCCTTGAGCTTGACCTCCCCACCGCGTGAGGAGAGCAGAGACCACTGCCCGGCGCTGTCCTCTGAGCACTCGAAGATCAGATCCTTCCGGCCGTTCATGTAGGTCTCGACGTCCCCGCTCCAGCCGGAGTCCTCGAACCAAGAGTCCAGCACCTTGCAGTAGCCCTCGAGAGCGCTGAAGCCGGTCTCGTCCATCGGGGTCTCCGACCCCGTCTCCAGGGGCCCGGCCTGAGAAGAGGCTGCAGCGCTGCTCTGCTGAGACCGCCAGTTCTCGAACTCCTGGATTTGGGTGCGAACCCGACCCTCGGCCCTTGGCAAGAGCTCCATGGGTGTCGGTAGGCCAGAACCCCTGAGCTGTTCGTCGGTAGGAGCCCCTCCGGTCGCGGACCGGAGTGTGTCAGGATCCAGCCTGGCTCGCTTGATCTCCAGGTCGTCCTCGGACAGAGAAGGTCGTCTCGACGAAGCCCGCGAGCCGCCAGCTGTGGCCACCGCCTGTGAGCCTGTCTCCGATCCGGCAGGTGTCGAGCCAGTCTGAGACACAGGAGGTGTTGGCTCGGCGGCTGGCTCCCTCTGAGGTCCGGCTGCGGCTGAGACAGCACCGCCCTGTCCGAGAGCTCCTGCAGGGTCCGCTGGAGCAGGATCTGACTCCTCGTGCTCTGGCACAGGTATCAGACGAGTCACTGGACCGGGAGCCCAGACGAGTCGCGGTCTAGGTCTCACGCCGGCAGCCTGGGTCGGAGGTCGCAGTCCCGGTGGCGGTGCAGGAGGCTCAGCAACTGCTCGAGCCACAGTACCTGCGACAGCCGGAGTCGGAGCTGGAGTGGGGCGGGAGCTGGAGTCGGGAGCTGGAGTAGGGACCTCTGGAGCCTCGATGTTGTTGGAGCCCACGTTGGAGTCCCGAGAGCCCCCTTGGTGGCCTGGAACCTCGTTGGAGCCTGCTGGTGCTATGGTCACGGGAGACGCGTTACCCTCGGAGCTGATGGGAGTCATGGTGGCCTCTGGTGGTGGTGGTCCCTCTTGAGCAACGTCTAGAGCCCCTCCCGAGATCCCTTAGCAAGCTGCTCGTCCAAGACGTCCCGATAGCACGTGGTCTGGATAAGCTCGGCCCCAAGGGACTCTGACTGCGTAGCAGGTCGTATCTGTTCACAACTGCATTTCCACAAACGACTGCGCACACACACCCACACTGTTGTTCCATGATGAAATATCACTGCACCTGGCCCAACCCACCGATCCCGTTGCAAACCGTATGGTTTGCGCCCTGTCTTGGGCGCTCGCCTCCAGATGTATACCAATCCCCTGGTCGGTAGGTCCTGTCCCTGTGCCACGCTGATCCCAACGCATGCTGCAACTTCCTACGCGCATCTCCTTCCATCGCAAGCTGTCGGGCACGAGACCGGATCTCGTGTTGATGTCGGAAAGCTGCCGCCGCACTGTCGAGGTCGGCGCTCGGTTCCTCGAGATCGTGAAGTCCTATGTGGTCTAACGGGTCCTCGCTGAGCAACTCCTGTGGTACCCTGGGGTTTTGCCCAAATACTAGCTGTAGTGGTGAATACCCGCCTCGATTCAGGAAACGATTCCGCCAGGCAGCCAATTCACAGGCCGCCAGCTCTAGGTCGTCGGGTCCCTCCAGGATGGTATCGCCCACGAACCGCTGGAGCCGCTCCTTCAACCATTGACCCGCCCGCTCTGTCTTCCCGTTCTGCCAAGGGCTGTCTGCGTCGGTAGTGTGCTGGAACACCCCTTGTTGCTCCAAGTGTCTGCTAAACTCAGCCTCGAATTCCTTCCCGCCGTCGGATATAAGGACCTCTGGAGGTCCGTAATGTCGGATCCACCCCCGCGAGAAGGCTTTCCACACTGCTGCTGGCTGCGAACATCTCCCGGGTCCCACAATCCCTACCCACTGTAGCGAGGTCCCCAGGCATACGGCATTCAGAAACGTGTACTCCCGGTGCTGATATGTCACAAAGAACAGGTCTACTCCAATCAGCTTGTTGAATGAGAATGTCCGAGCAACTGTTGCCTTTCGCTGAGGAATCGACTTGCCGGCGCTCTCGCATGACTGGCACACAAAGTGATGCTGAACGTAGCGCAGTATCTCTGGCCGAGCGTGAGCACACCGAAGGATACGAAGCAGGTCTCTCTTGGTGGGATGACCAAGATTTATATGTGCCTTCTCCACCTGCCGAATCTGCTCCTGAGTCAACGGGCAGTCCTGCTGCTGCTGCTGCTCATCCTCCTCCTCCTCGTCCTCAGAGTTGTCCTGCTCGTGGCCCTCCACCTGAGACTGGGTCGGTCGTTCCTGTCGACGAGTCGCCAGCACCCCGCTCGGAAAGCTCTCGTCGGTTCCCAGCTGCTGAAGCTCTGCGGATCGGTGAACCGCGTGGGCTATGGTCTTGCAGAACTTAGTAGGATAGCATGCCGCGCGTCGTGGCAGACCGCCTCCCTCCAGCACCAAATGTCGGTGGTCCCCGGCACACCGTTTTCCCAAGAGAGCCCTGTAAACTTCACAGTCGTTGGAGACCACAGTGGTTGGCTTCTTGGAAATCGTGCCAGGCCTAACCGAGAGCCCAAACCTGCACATGTCAAACGTGATCCTGGATACGCCCGGGAGCTCCAGAAGCCTCTGAGTACTGGGAAGAGCCCAAGAGGTCGCAGTAGTAGGTTGTTCCAGAGCGAACTTGCGACCGCCCGAGATCTGAAGCTCGATTATCTCCATCGCATACGCCCACAGGTCCAATGCTTCTCCACGCGCTCGGGCCATCTCGATCGGATCTCGCCGCTCATCGTTGACTGCGTTGATGGCGGCGAATTCAGTGCAGGGAGGACTGAGAAAAACCAACCATGGACGCCACTTCTTGATCAACCGCTTTCCTAGCTCCCGGTGATCCATACGTCGGAAATCCCAGCCCGTGGTTAAGTCTAGGCTGCCACCAGTCGGTGAGCCCCTGGAGCCCAGCTGAGAGGAGACCTTTGCCGTGCGAGGAGGTGAGAAAACTTCAACAAATTCGTATCCCCAGGAGTCGGATCCCGATACTCTTCCAAGACCTCGGAGACTCTGACGAAGACGACGCTTACTCCTCTGGTCAACCTTGAACTGGTGAGTGTAGTTGTCCAGGCCCGTTAGATTAGCTAGCGTGTCGTCGGAGTCGTGATGTAGCTCGGAGCCGCGTAGCGTCGTGATAGACAGGTAGCTCTGGAGAGGGACAACGTAGTAGGACCCCGCACCCGCAGACCCGCCTTCGGTAGAGTTGGGTCTACCCTGATAGGTGGATGTGTAGGTGCTGACCCAGAGTCGGCATCGCCCGTCGTCGGACTCACACTGCCAGGCAGGAACAGAGGGGAGATTGAGACGGGATGAGGGAGAAGATAGAGGGCCTTCGCTTTTCTCCAAAGCCTCCTGATCGATCCGGTAGCACCGGCCGTTGGCCCTGGCCTGCTCCAGAACAGCGCTGGCCTCTCTGTGTAAACTGCGAGAAGTAGGGATTCGAAGCCAGCACTCCTGTCGAGACTTGTCGCCAAGTAGCCGCAGCACGCCGCTCTCTCTCAGTTGCCCCTCATGTCGGTGTCCGCCGGGACCTCCTCCGCCATGGTGAACCCGAGGTTTGGTAATACCCCGGTGGTCGTCGGTGGCGGACCGGTTGGCGGTGTCGGCGAGCTGGAGTCCGCACTCCCGCCTGCTGCTGGAGACTCTGACGCCATCTGCTGCATCGTGGCCACCATGTGCGAGAGCGTCACGGACTGCTCGCGTATCGCTGCTGTCATCGGCCCCGTGGATGCCGCCATCGCCTCGGCCACTGCTGCCGACAGGCCTCGCACCATCTCTGATGCCCACGGTGGCGGGGGCTCCTGGTTGAAGCTCGACCAGGTGTTCTCGTCGTTCGGCGCCGACGCCACGCGTCGACTCGGAGCCGGAGCTGCGCCCTCCCGCATCGCCGAGCCTGCCGAGCTCAGGGGCCTGACGTCGCGCGGGAGCTGCTGCTTGAGCTTCCTCATCTCCGATGCCGTCATCTGTCGGTGGCCGTCCCCGCGGTACCCGATCTCTCGATAGGACGTCCTCACCTTGCACTTGTTGCACTGCTCCCAGTTCCCGTACTGGTTGTGGGAGGTCACGAACCACCTGGGGCGGTGCACACAGAGCGTCCAAGGCACCGACCCGTCCGCCAAGGGAGCCGTCATCGGAACCCGGTACTCGTAGAGGTCGTTCACCAGCCTGGGGTCCTCCACCATCCTCCGACGGAGCTCCTTTCCCGGGAAGAGTCTCCCGCGCCTGTTCAGAGCAAAGAACTTGTCCATGAGGGTCTGTGTCCACATCAGTCCGGCATGCAGCAGCCTGATCCACTGGATCTTGACCCTCTCTGAGATGTCCAAGTCTGGGCGGTCCCGCATCGACTTGAGGCGGATCTCGCGGTGAGCTTGGTGGTTGTGCCTGGCTCGATGTTTGAGCCAGATCAGCTACAGGGTTGGAGATGTGGCGGGAGTCGTGGTTGGAGGAAGGCATCACTGGTTTCGAACTGCTGTAGTCGGTATGCAGGCTCCCGGGATCTCTCTGAGGTGCGGGGGCTCCTGTGGGGTCGTTTCTCTCCTTCTGAGGCCTGGAGGGATCCTTCCAAGAGAGTACGTCTTCTTTTTCAGTCGGGGCTCGGAAGGCGTCCGAGCTGAGTCCAGCTGGCAAGGCACGCGAGCTGGGAGAGAAGCTGCTCTCCGTCCCGCGCCAGTCGTTGATGTAGATCCCCCGATGGTTCTTCCCGATCCGGTGGAGCTCAGTCTCACAGTCCAACTTCTTCAAAATGAGAAGTTCCTTCTCGTAGTCCAGCACTGCGCCGAACTGCTCGAGAAACCCGCCTGGTAAGAGTGGCGGCAGGTCCTCCTTCGTCACCACGAACTCGATGGTCCCGCTCTTGCCACTGATGGAGATGGGCACCACGGCGACTCCGACCAGCGTGGCCGATCCGCCGATACCCCGAGGTGTCTGGACGCTCTTCTCAATCCAGTTGATCCGCAGGCCTCGTTGCTGCAGATCTCCCTCGAGCTCCTTCAAAGCCCGGCGGCCTATGATAGCCTGAGAGGCACCGCTGTCCACGATGATCAGGCCGCCCTCGAGAATCAGCAGCGAGAGCTCCGTAGTCTCCGAGCTGACGATCTCCCTGAGGGTCGCCAGCACCTCCCTGCCCAGGACCGTGATGCCGTCGATGTTGAAGTCCTGGTCGTCGCCCGCGCCGATCGCTGTGAACGTGAAGGCCTCGATCTCGGCCCCTCCAGACCGAGATTTGCCCTTGCCATCTCGCTCTCTGGGACGATGAGGATTCTTGCACTCTTTGTGCCAGTGCCCTACTTCTCCACAGTTGCCGCACTTCGTGATCAACTTCAGCTGTGTTGGGGTGAGCCGGCGCTTCTTCTTCCAGAAGCCCCGATCCCGCTTGAGCGCAGTCTTCAGCTGCTGGTTCTCCTTCCACGTCTTCTTGGTCTTGCCGATCTGTGCCAAGGTCTCGACCACCTCTGGCTCCGCGAGGCCCTTCTCGGAGAGCTCGACGAGAACCATGGCCTCGTCCTCCGAGTCCAGCTCGTCGGCCCAGTACGACCACTCGTAGATCGGCTCCTCGACCGGCCCGGTCTCTGCCCGCTGGACCTCGGGAGTTGGCAGTGCCTCCTCCGGTCCCATACTCAATAGTGATGATTGCTTGCCGTCGCTCCAGATCTTTCCTCCGGTGTCCAGCTTGGGCAGCGCCCAGAGGATGTCCTCGCCTAGCATCGAGCCCTTCGTCAGGCTCTTGAGGTTCTGTCTGCCCTGCTCGTTGAGACGAGCTCCTTGCATCAGCAGCATGCCCTGGATCTTCTGTGGGATCTCCATCCCGATGCTCTTCGCCTTGTCAAATTGGCGTCGGCGTCGCTCTGCGAAGGTGTGCAGGTCCTCATCCTTCTTCCTCTCCGTGTCCTGCATGGCCTCGCTGCCCGTCCGGTAGAGGTCGTCGTCCTCGCGCTCACCGGACTTGAGGCCCATCCTCTTCAGTATGAGCTCGACCGTCAGCTCACTATCCGGGACGTCCTCGAGGGTCGCCCGGATCTCCCAGGGCAGGATCTCTAGCAGTCTGTCTGCTGCCTGAGCCTCGCTCAAGTTCAGGCCGTTCTTCCAGCGCTGCACGTACTGCTTCCGCAGCCTGAATCTCTCCCAGCCTGGCCAGGATGGTGCTGGCCTGGGTTGGGTCCACTGGCCCTGCCACCAGCCGCGGTCGTGCTGCCACGTGCTGCCTTGACTACCCCAACTCTGCCGCGAGTAGTCTTGATCCCAGGTCTGTTGTCGCCCGGGTCTGTCTCTCCACTCCTTCCAGGTGTCTGATGCCCTCATGGATGGTGGTGTTAGCTTGTCCTCTTCTGCCCGCGCATCCTTCGCTCTCCACTCTTCTCGCCACGGATCGTGCTCCGTCCAGGGGTCGTCGACCACGCTCCAGCCTGCTTCGTGAGATGGAGCCGCGCTCTGATCTTGACCGGCGAGCCCCTGGAGGTTAGGTGCGCCCTCAGGTGGCGCCGAGGCCGGCGCAGCCCCTGTGCCCAGCCGTATCATCTGGGCCACTCTGCCTGCAATCTTGTCGATGTCTGCGTCTGTCAGCCCTTCCCTGCCACCTCGAGGGCTAACAAGAGCACCTCTGCTAGCTGAGGCAGCTGCGCTCGAGTGACTCATCAACCGTCTTCAGTACTTGCACCCTCGTAGGTCGCCCTCGCCCTGCCGTAGATCTGTGAACCGTCCTCCAGCTGCGCACCCGCCCTGGGCCTCGCTTCCGGAAGTCGTTCGGTGAACCACGCTCCGCTACCACTGTGGGCACGACGGGTTCAGGCGGCCATCGCAAGATGTACTGAAAGGGATGCCTTTGCACTCAACGCACACAGAATGGCTTGAGCCAAAGCGTCAGTCACGGCGCTGTGCACAAGCAAGCATACAACAGACACAAACACAGAAAAGCACGGATAGTCAGGACGAGAGGGAGCCATATGATTCCACAGATGCATCAACGATAGGTCGGCGATATGCCCCCGAGCGGGGAAAGCTACCAGGCCCCTATCGGCGACGAGTTGCCGATTGGGAGCCCTGAGCTTACGTCCCCCACATCGTTGCCAATGATTTTATCGGCTGTCGGGCCATAGCTCGGCTCTCTGGCGGCTGTTCAGGACGATTTTGGCACCCACAGAACGCGCTCGGCGAGGCGCCGCTGATGGAAACCACCCCAGGCATCGAACATTTTAGAGATTTCCCCCCACCCACCCCGGCTCTATCGATTCACCTCCCTGATCCATTCCCCCCCTCTGTCGTCCCCCCCCCTGACCGCGCCCCCATCTTTAGCGGTGCTCTGGGCCCTGGCTTCAAGAGTCCTACACAGCTTGTCTGCACTCACAGCCCAGAATAAGGATTTCACGACTTGCCTTCGGGTATCCCCGCGTCCTTGCGTTGTTTGTGCGCTGAGTCCCGAAGCCCACTCGGCAAGGACAAAGGTGGGTTGGGGTACCCTTGCGTCTCTGGCGCGTTGGCAGCCCACCGCCCAAAACATCGAACGAACAACACACACGCATACAAGCAGAGGGGTCGGAGGGAGGAGCACTGGCCATGGCTATGGGCACGGGGCGTCGGACTGCGGAGAAAAGGCTCCCGTTCGAGAGGGGGCCCCATCCAACAATGCGCGCCCATAACCCCCCCTATGGGTATGTGTATACGGTGACGGCATTGGACAAGGAACCACTGGATAAAGAATCCGCTGACCCCTTGGGGATCAT